CGGCCCCGAGCCGGAGCGACCACGGGGGGTTGTCCACGGCGAGGGGTCAGGACTTGGACAGGTTGTCCGTCCCCAGTGTACAGGGTGCTGTATTCGAATTGTTGTTCCTCTTCCATGGCTTCAGGAAGAGTCGACGTAGTTGGGACTGTAGCTGGACCGAAACCGCGATTACGGCGACGTGGTTGACCGATAGCAGAGATAGAGTCGGAGAATGGGGCAAATGATTGAGCTGTAGTGAAGAAAGTGTTTTCTTCGGAGTTAGCTCTAGATTGAGCTCGAGTTTTCGGAGGCATAAAAAATGATATGTCAGTACGACGTTAACGGATTGAGTTTAATTATACTGTTAAGATCATGTACACCGTGTAACCGTGCCAAGGCCACAGGGTGTCTAAGTGCGGAAGACGAATGGGACAGTAGTGAAGTTATTAACAACACCGCCGTTACGCCGTTAGTCCCCGGAGAGCGAGAGTAGAGAGAGAGGAGCTAAGTAGCAGCCAGGTCGGAGCGGCGGTATCGCCGGTGACGAGGAGCGGACCAGAGAACGTTAAAGTCCTAAGGACGAGGAGAACGTACTTCGAGGCGTTGAGCCTGAAGACTTAGAGAAGAGTTAAGTTGAGAAGGGAGATCTAAGTTGATCTAAGTTGATAATTAAACTGAGGAACTACAGTAGCGTACAGGCAGTATTTATATCTACGGATCGGCGCAGCGGTGCGGAGCGCCAGAATAACTACTAGGAGCTATACGAGTAGTACCTGCAGGGTAGAGTAAAAGACAATAAGAAGGGACTAGAACGAAAGGGTATGTGTAGCGAGAAAGAACAATAAGAGTGAGATAACAATAAGGAGCAGATCTTCGGAATCCCGAACGGCGGAATGGAGGCCCGCGGCATGGACTTGACACGATGCCAGTCTTCGTCCCACGAATCCCAAATGGCGCCTTATTCCATGAATGTTTCGGTCATCCTGGTATTGATCTTACCAACGAACTCCTGACAGGGAAATCGGTGAAAGGACTTGAGGAATGGAATGGAACAAGGATGCGAGGGATCTGTGATTCATGTCTCAAGGGCAAACATCCTCGTTTCCCATATCCCTATCATGGCAACCGTGCTTCCGAACCACTAGAGTTGATCCATACTGATACTTGTGGACCTATCGGGACACTTTCCAATCACCAAAGTTCACATTTCAACATTATCCTCAATGACTATACCAGCGCTCTATCTGGCAGATGTTTTGCAAAGAAAAACCAGGCACTACGTATTATCAAGTCTACGGATTCTACCTGGGAGAATCTTATGTCTCCCCACAAGGTCAAAAACATCCGACTTGACGGTGCGAAGGAATTTCATGGGTCCGAAGCTACAACGTATTTCGAGGAGAAAGGAATTCTGGTCCAGAAAACTGCAGCATACTCTCACCAACAAAATGGGAAGGCAGAACGATGGGTCCGTATTATTGAGAACGACGCTATGACCATGCTTGTTCACTCTGGCTTACCTTTACAATTTTGGGAAGACGCAGTCCGCACTGCAATCTACATTCGTTTTCACTTACCAACGAAGACTTTACCTGACAACAAGACACCATACGAAATGGTTCACGGTCACCCACCAAATCTATCAAACCTACGAGTATGGGGGTGCCAATGCTGGATTCAAGTTTCCGAAGATATACGACTTAAATTTGGCAATAAAATGTTGGAAGGAATCTTCGTAGGCTATGAGGATAATCGAATAGGATGGCGGGTTCATGACGTCAATGGGAAGGAACATTTCTCTGACCAGGTTGTATTCAATGAATCTCAATTTGGACAACTCCGTAGCCCACATTCACCAAAGTCTACCACAGCACCACTTATTCCGACCTCTTCGCTTTCTAACTCACCGACAACTATCTCGACTTCGAAACCGGATCCACCAAATGGCCCTCGACCTTGACGCACAACCAAATTGATGGAACGCGGAAAAGAATGGCGTGAAGGGATTCGTAGACGTCATGAACGTATCCAAGAGCGACAAATCACTGAAGGACTTCCTCCTACTTGCAATCCACAGATTGACCTTGACATAATAGGGTGCTCACTTGCTTGTCGGATCCTCGAAGATAATTTCACCTGCATAGAAGATGATTCTGATTTTTTCTTCGCCACACTCGCTAACATTCCTAGTCCCTTCCATCCAATAAAACCAAGCTCGACATCAACTTCCAAACCCCGGATTTTCAACCTCAGAAAAGTGCCATCTACTCGGAGAGAAATGCTGTTACGGTCTGACAAACACGACTGGCTCGAAGCTGAAGACCGAGAGATATCTGGTTTATTTGATTTAGGTGTCTTTGAGGAAGTACAACTTTGTCCAAAGGGTAAATTTCCTATCGGTCTCAAAATGGTCTATGACCTAAAACTCGATGGCACGAAGAAAGCGAGACTTGTTGCACAAGGCTTTACCCAACGGCCTGAGGATTACGGCAATGTCCATGCTCCAGTTACCAGAATGGTATCTTACCGAATCGTTATGGCCTGGACTGCTCATATGAACCTTGGATTATTTTCTTTTGATGTTAAACAAGCGTTTCTGAATGCACCACTTGCAGAAGAAATCTATGTCAAACAGATTCCAGGTTGCCCAATTACCACTAATCCTAACGTGGTATACCGTTTACGTCGAGCACTCTATGGTCTCCATCAGGCATCTGCAGCTTGGTACTCAACACTATGTAAAGCACTGGACGATATTGGCTTCAAACACTGTGAATGCGACAATGCTGTCTTTATTGGTTGTTGGACAACTCCACCTGATCCATCTATAACGATGCCAACCACTGGGGATCCACTTATCATGCTTATTCCTGTTCATGTCGACGATGGATTAGTCTCCACCAATTCTGTTAATCTATACCACTGGTTTCTTATTTGAATCAATAGCCAGTTTAAGGTACTTGATCTGGGACCAACCTTGACTTTCCTCGGAATCAGAATATATCGAGACCGAAAACGACGCCTCTTATGGCTCTCGCAGGAATCATACGTAGAAGATCTTCTGGAACAATATGGTCTCACGGAATGCATCACCCACGATCTTCCTCTCCAATATAAATTTGATGGTCCCGATCCCAATCCTTCCCTCTATGCGGATGTAGATCCTGAATCTTTGACAAAAATCTATCAGGGTCTTATTGGTTGCCTCCTTTTTCTCGCCCTTTGTACTCGTCCAGATATTGCTTACACTGTAATGTTCCTTGCACAATTCAACTCGAAACCATCTCCCTGACATCTCATTGCAGCAAAAGGAACTCTTCGATACCTTGCGAAAACTCGAACTTGGTCTCTGCAGTATGGGGGTGATCATCAGACTGAACTTATTAATACTCTGGGTATCAAATCCGACACAATGGCCCTTTCTGACGCTGATTGGGGTAGTAATTCTCTGGATCGCAAGTCGATTTCGGGATTCGGGATATTCCTCTTTGGTGGCCTGGTCACTTGGTCTGCTTCGAAACAGAAGAGTATTGTGTTATCATCAACGGAAGCAGAATACATGGGTTTGACCCACATCCTTAAGGAATTACTCTGGATCCGGGTATTCACTGCATTGATTTCACTTCCCATTCCCAATCCTTTTCCTCTCATTTCTGACAATCGTTCTTCTATTGATATAGCAAATTCTCGTTCCGTTTCTAATCGGTCAAAACATATCGACATCCGTTATTACTTTATTCGTTCTCATATCGAAGATGACTCAATAACCACCATCTGGTGTTCCTCTCTTGACATGATTGCTGATATTTTTACCAAATCCTTACCTACAGATTTACATTATAAACACTCACTATCTCTTGGTCTAGTTCCACTACCGGCTGTTACCTGACCACTTCATTCATCGGTGGGGGTGTGTTGGAAGTACTTTATACTTTCCTTTCTCAGGCCGACTCATTTCGTTTACACGTGACTTCACACTATTTACATCGTATTTCGCATGTTCCTTTCCCTCAGCTGTTTAGATCCTCACTGGTTCTACAACTGAGGGTAAGTCCATTTTCTTCTTCATTATACCTACACTGTAGATACTAATAGCTGTTTAGCTCTTTTGTTCTTCATATAGGTATAATCCGAGCTGTTTAGATCCTCACTGGTTCTACAACTGAGGCTCTTTTGTTCTTCGTATAGGATTGACATCCAAGAGGCCCGCTACCAGTCAATGGGTGTCTGTGTGAGCACTCAGTACAAGATGGATTAAACGCTGATGCAGGATGAGTAGTGAGAGGTAGTGTTTGTAGAGGTCTGTACTACAATGGGACCACACCTTGATTGGTGATGGCCAATGTACTTGTATTGTAGATAGAAAAAGCGGCGCGCCGCATGTAGATGCATCTGCCCAACCTGTAGTCTCCAGCAGTAGTAGTACCGCATCAACTCGAAAAGCGAATGACCAAAAGGAGATATATGACTAAAAACTGATGACAGGGATGGCTAATTTCGAAAAAACAGGGTCTACTAAACCCTTCAACCCCAGTCAAAACCTACACTGGATCGATCCGGAAAAATATGGAACGAACAGGACGTAGCTGGAATACTTTCAGATTCAGAACTAATCGGAAGACATCATATATTCCCGGATTCTTCCAGATTTTTGTGCCTTTCCAGATGAATTTCGGGTGACAGCTGGTCATATCCGGTGTTAACAGGGTATTTCTAGGTAAATATGGATCTGAATTGGGGGTAGTTACAGGTACAGATATCTGGATACATCTGAAATTACTGTAGAAATATCCAGATGTAATCGAGTCGCAATGATGTTACATTACTTATGTCCATCTCAGGCCAATGTAAGAGAGAGAGAGAGCAAGAACCCTAGGCTTGAGTCAAGCAATTGAGAAAAGTCGAGAAGCGAACGCGAGAACAGCTGCCGAATATGTCGAGTAAAGGTCGGAGAAGCTGAGAAACATGAAGATGATGATATTAGGTAGGGCACTTTTATGCGATTTGATCCACGTACTGTTTTAACCATCCGTCGGTTCCTTGGTACGGGTTCCGCTGGCCGCCTTGCGTTGCTTTCCAATGTCTGTGTATTTCTGGAAGCGCGCATTCACGACACACGATGGTGAGCTCACAGTGGGAATAGAGCAGGAAATAGGGAACTCACCTTAACAAGTTCCTTATCGTTCTTCTTCTTGTCCCACAGGAGCTTGAATTCATTGGTGGATAGACGTGGGTTTGATGGATCCGCTAAGTACGTTTCGAGAAACATGTTCCTTAGGAGACAAATGATGAATAGAATATGAGATTAATCAAAGAGAATAGATTTACCTTGCGCTAAACGTTGTTGTTGACACTGATGCCAACTTCTGTTGTATACCAGTCATGGGAGGTGCCGACGCCGACGTGGGAGTTGACAAGCTCGGGTCGGAATGCAGAGGAGCGATTGTTGATGGAATATTCAGTCCGGTTCTATGTGCATGCAGTCAGCAATGTCAGAAGCTAGTAGGTGTCATAGAACGGCTTACAAGGGATTACCCTGTTAAAGTAGAATCTGCCATCAGAGTAAGAACATCAAGCAAAAAGATGTAGGACGTATGCGTCGTCGGGTATCACGAATCTGCGTGGAGACAACAGCTGTCTCATGTGGAGTTACGGTGACTGGGGAGGAAATAGCTGAAACGGCGCCGTTAATGGAAGTGTTGACTGTAGTGGTAGACAGTGGAGGCGAGCCGTTGCTTGGTGCGTTGATGGTAGTGGTAGACGATGAAAGTGGACATTCATCCGGAGTGTTGGTAGTGGTAGATGGCAGAGGCAAGCCATTGCTTGGTGCGTTGACAGTAGTGGAAGACGACGAAGGTGGACACTCATCCGGAGTGTTGGTAGTGGTGGACAGTGGAGGCGAGCTGTTGCTTGGTGCGTTGACAGTAGTGGTAGAGGGTGGAGGCGAGCTGTTGCTTGATGCGTTGATGGTAGTGGTAGACGACGAAGACAAGTCATCACTGTCAAGATTGATAAAGGTCGTTCCTGGTGGAGGCGCTGTCTTCTTCCGTTTCTTACTCCGTTCTATCCTTGAAATTTCAAATCCCTTCCGTTTACTTGCGTTGTCAATCGATGGATTTGCACCTGTAAAATATATGTCAAGTATAGAACCATATATGAGAGCATATAGCGCACGAGTCAGCCTTGTCTTGTCCTTTGCATTCCAGTCCGGATATTTGTGAATAATGTAACGCCGTACTTTCCAGGCATCTTCCGCATATCGGAATTCTTCATGAGCACTGAGCAAAGTATTTGTAAGATAACGCCTAGATTCGACAGCGAGATTGGTGGAATTCGGAGGGGCAAGACGATGGTGGTGGATTTGATTCATAGCTGCCATGAATGTCTGGGAGATAGATTTCAATGCCTGCGTGTTGAGCTTGACTCCTTGTCCATCAGTGAGTAGATCCAGAGTCGGAACTTTGATGCCTCGATTCGCCTGGGTTTCACAGTGAGCCTTCCACTGGGTATCCGTCCAGTACATCACCTTGGGGTGATCATCATGTTCAAAGAAGGGAATCGAAGGAGGTGTTTCGAGGGAACTGATGACAGCCTGTGAGTTCGCACTGGATGTGTTCACGCTCGCTACAGGCAGAACTTGAGCATTTGAAATTTGAGATAGTAATCGTTCATTCAATCTCCTTGAGTATATATCAGCTGTTAGCTGAAAGAGGTGAAATTGGGAACATACTTTTCCGCTGCTAATTCAGCCTCAAGCTGTATGCATTTTCTATCAAGTGACATGTATGCAATATTACGGGCCTGATAGAGGACATCATGGTCGGCAACAGATATTGCTTGTAAATAGTTGTTCATATTCTGCCCGGTATCTTGAAAGTACCCAGAGGAAGAGTTATGTTGGGCATTATAAGAAGAATACATGGGTGATGGTGGCGAAAACAAGGCAACAAGACAGGTTTGTCGATTCTGTCATAAGTGATATTTCCCACGCATTCTCGCTGCTTGGGTGAACTCAGCTTTAGTTTGACTGTAGTACCTCTACATATTTCATTCAGTTAGATATATTCCCAGCCGATGCTCAACAGTTTAAATATCAAAAACACCACCAAGTTCATCCCCTCCAACGATCTCAGAATCATCAATACCAGTCTTTTCAACTACAAACCAAAGGCCCTCCGGATCTCCTGGAATTTGAGGAAGCGGCTGCATCGATACAGTAGATAAGATATTCTGTGTGTTGATGACACAGAGACTGGAGTCTCCCTGGTAGAAGCAAGCCCATAATTCATTGTGGGATTCGACAAGAAGATCATTCAAAGGATCGGAGTATAGGGATACCAGGGCATATGCTGTGAGTTTGTCTGGTTGTTCTGGATCTAATGCATACAGAAAATAGTACTGAACCTCAGCATATGTTTTGACACCATCCACATGGACCTAATATTATTAAGTATAAAAAAAACACAATGTATTTGAACTTACTTTGACATTCCGAGTCACTCTAATGTCAGCTCGAGTCTTGTTGCTTTCATTATACAGACTGCGTGCGACTTGTCCATTCGGCAAGCATAACCGACCCCACTTACGGATATGATTTATGAACAATCCAGCTTTTTCGAAAGCATCTATCTCTGGTGAGAGCAGTACAGATGGCCAACGCTTTCTTGGACGTAGAAGGAGATAACCATTACCCATATCCAATGAACCCCTTGGCTGATGTGGTATTGATTTTGGGTCTAACTCTGGACACATATTCTTCAGTGCATTGATACGGCACCGGGTCAGAGCCTGCTGAGCAAGATTGGAGAAAGGATTCGAAGGTTGACGGATTGACTGGCCTAGATCACCAATCAGGCGCTCCAGAGTATACTGAGAACTGACTGCTCCTGGGCCAATTCTAATCATCTCTGATGGAAGATGTACAAGAGTATGAATGCAGGGACGGCAAAAATGCATGCGATCTACGCGGCGCTGGTAGTACATGGCTTCATATTCCTCCACAAATTGAATGAGTTGTACACGGGCTTCTTGAGCTTCTCTCCCAGTTATTGAGCGCTGTAACATGGAACGTGCTCCATGTAGTCCCTTGCAAAGACTTATCCAATTCTCTCGCGGAAGAACTGCGCGAAAAAAACCTGGACCAAGGCCGAATATGTAGAGGAAGTATTCCGTTGCCTTAAATCCACTGTGGATTTTCTCAGCAGGGTTACGGGGAGGACGATGGAATGATGACGGAAAGTATTTGCATGCATTGGCGACCAGTTTCCCATGCTCTTCCCAGGTCTCTCCTGTAAGAGTAGCCCAAGTCCATGTACTTTTATCATCCGTTCTCCCACAATCAAGTTTTCCTCTCCACAATGAGATTACTAACTCTCCGAAATTGAGCCCTAGGTGATGCATATGATCAACAGAGAAACATTGTGGAACAGGGATCATGAGATCTTGTGAAAGGCCTAGGAGGATGGAGGGTTTACTGATCCCAGTCACCTTACGGTTGGCTTCGTATGCGGTGGGCCCTGGAGATTGGATGACCTTATCTAAATCTTCATAGTATTGCTGAACAGATGGACGTTCAAGGTTTCGTATATCGACATCACCGTGAGCACACTCAGGAGGTAAGGGACCATTTGGCCGAAGATGGACTTGATTGTAATGAGGAGTTCCGGGTTTGTGGCGTCCTTTCATTGGGCATCCGATCCGACATGCATGAACACAATGATGGGTAGCACGGCCATCGAGGTCAACCAATCCCACTGCATCTGCCATTGCTAGTAGGAACAAAATGCGTGCGTAGATTATAGTGTCCGTGATAGCATCCCACATTGCCAAACCTTTCCCGTTATTCTCTTTTTGAAGTGCCGAGAGATGCTGTAAGCTCCGGAAAGTGAATGAGTCGATGATTTTAGGCTTATTTGGCCCAGGAATGATGAACATTGGGAGTACGCATCTCTGTTTGAACTGAAGTGAAGGCTTGAAATTTTCGACTTTCCACATACCAAACCAAGTATCGGATTGTTTGTTCTGGTATAACTGAGCACCATCAACGGAGAGTGATACCATTATGTCGTGCGGGGTGAGCTTCACTTTTTCCGCAAGATCCAGGAAGTCGGACCCACAAAAAATGTCATCATACACAAAATCTTCTGCCGAAGACTCGTCATGGAGGATCTGTTCAGTTTTCAAGTATGCATACTGCAATTCGAGTGCCATTTCTTTCGACCTTCATAGGGCCTGCAACTGTGGGCCAAGCAAGAATGTGCATGCTTGTAAGCGAGGGACCTTTCGACCAGTTTGTTCAAGTATAACAGGATTAAAGCGAGGCTCTGCACAAACACTGCAGGTTTCGAGATCTGTAAACGGACCTGTGAAGGCATGACAGGAGTTGATACACATATCATCCTTGACTGCAACTACACCACTGATCTCAGCAACTAGCTTTTTGACTTCATAAAGTGAGAGAATAGAGGAATCTGGATAGCGACGGATGACAGCAGTGCGGGTCTGATGGTAGACTTCCTCTGAAGCCGAAGATGTGGCCAGATAGATATCAATTGAGAGACGAGTATCCGGATCAGATATGTCAACCAGACCTGTAGTTGGGCTGCGCAGACGATAAAGGTCATCTTCACTGAGTATTCCGTTGTCCAATTTACTGGCTTTAATTTCACGTATAAATTCCTGTGTTATTCTGATACGTTCGATGGCAGAGACCGGATCGAGTCCTTCCTGATCATCCTGCTGTGGCGGGTTGTTCTCTTCGTCGGTCTCATTATGATTATCACTTCCAGACTCTTCTCCCGGCATATGTGTGCGGCGAACATGGTCAATCTGCTCGAGCCTGTCACGACCATCTGGATTGTGTACATCTGGGTCCGATCCTGAATCCGATCCTGAATTTTCACGCTCGTTTACAGAGTTTCTCGAAGCACCTGATATTTGTTGAGTAGATACGGAGGTAATGTAATTAATTTCATCCAAATCCACGTCCTAGGTTGAGATAATCAGTTGATTTTCATCTTTGTATGTGTAGTAGAACACAACATACCATGTCTTCGGGTACTGTATTGTTCTCTTCCTCCTCGCCATCCTCTTCATCATCCCCTTCACTTCCTGCATCGGATGGTCCATACTGGTATTGAGCAAAGGACTGTACAGGAACAGTGGCAGCAGCAGCGAGAGAATGTCGTCGAAATGTCTCATAGCTTACTACTCGGTTTTCACAGCGGTTGCAAGGACAAGCTCTTCGACGGACCATATCAGCGTTGAGAAAAGAATCAACTTCGTACGTTACGTATATACGATGTACATGTGATGTCATTTCGGACCAGTTCCAGACTGATTCCAGGATTCTCAGCTGGCTTCATTTATCCTCAGCTTTTGTTGTCATCTCTCAGATCTATCCAGAACCAGTTCTCACTGGGCTTCAACCTCTAAAGAGGTAGCGGGAATGACTAAGCAAACTCATCAAGCCAAAGAAGTAGAAACCGAGTCGGCATCTGCCCAATCAAACTCAAATTTGAATCAAATGCATTAGTAGAAATAGGCAGCAGAGCAGCCAGAGCAGTATTGCTTATACAACTACTCAAAGGAACCTTAAGAAATAAATGACTTGTACAGTGTAAGAGTTATTTGCCCCTTCATGGTTGTATTCATGTACTATTTTCAACTTGAAGACAGGCAGAGTGCCAATTGATGGCTGCTGTTCCGTAAGTAAAGAATATATACTGTGGGTTGGATAGCCAACTTGGATACGCCGCTACTTAGACAATGATACTTATATCATATCGGGGGTTGGCTCTACACGAGTGAGAGACTCACACAGAAGTTTTGCAAAGCTCGAAACAAAGAGGGGCCTGAACGTTGAAAAAGCAGGTGGGAAGGATGCAATGAGCTGGGCGAGATGAGAGTCGATGAGGAAGAAATGTGCGCCTGTGCATAGACAAACTCTCATCCTCTCTGCTGTTTAGGACCTTTGACATGCACTCCAAGTACTGGAAAAAGGAACCTCCCATCCCCCATCCGGAGTGAAGGAAATCTTGAGAGTCCCCGGGCCACATTATTCCCTATCACGGACGTTCGAATTTCAGTTTCAGGATCCAGTTCAGGACTATTGTCCAACAGGTCACTTTGGTCTTCAAACTTGGGCCTGGTGAGGATCATGTTCATATAGCTGGGTTGACCTGGGTGCGGAAATATGGCAGTTATGATAGGACCTACTTCCTCTGAGTTGCCTTCAATTTGCTGGTGTCTGAGCATTGTGTGAAATCCCTGAATCAGGAAATTCCAATCTTCTTCAGCACATTCCGAGTTCGCTTTTGCTTCTTCCAGGGTCCAGACGCTTGCTCGTGCATCGGAAGTTGTAAGATCGATACGATTGATGTAGACTGCGCTGTCGTCAGCAAGATGCTGGTCACGATACATCGATTGCTCTCGTAAAAGGCGATCCCGATCTTCCCATAACTCTGTTTGAATTATGCATCCAATGATGTTGTAATCTCTTTCTTGTGCAGGTCGAGGTAGATGGGCTGTCGAGTGCGAGAATTTCACCGACAGCACTTAGCAAGAAGGGCTTACTTACCTTCAGCATCTTTAATATATTGTAGACATTCAGCCCGATGACCATTCCTCCAATGTTGTTTTTGGCAGGAAAGCCCACAATAAAGGGTTATTTTACACCCATTACATAGACGAACTCGAGGACCGCTGGTGGTGCACTTGAGAAGATGATAGATTAGTTTTCCCCAAAATGAACTCTACTCTTGACAGATAATCCTCACCTTATCATTAGAGCAAAAACTATATTTAGTTTCCAAATAATTTCTCAGTCGCATTCTTGATACACATAGAAGTTTGAAGTCTCTCCATACAGTCGAAGTCGCGAGGCTCATGTTGGGAACAACAGGATCGATGTCGACATCAGAGAACGGCGAAGTCTGCAATGGTTTTTCCAAGCATCTCTGAACACTGCGATACATCGATGAACCTGCAATGAGCTTGACAAGGTTTATATAGAGTTCGTCCGAGGCAATGTTGCTATGCAAAACCCAGGGATCACCCTCCGCGGCCCGAGACAAGTTCCAAAGCGTCAGAAGAAGACCTGATTTCAGAGCCGGTATGATGCTTGTGTAACCGCCATAATTGAACGATTCGTACAGAAATTCCAACGCAAAACGCCAAACAACCTGAAGACTCGTCTCTTGGATTGGTGTAAGTGTTCTGTTCGGATTGGATGCGTCTGCGCTGAGCCTACGGAGGATGACTGAGGTGTAGCGGATGGAGGGAAGGTGCAATATCTCATTGAACACTGGTTCCGATACTGACCATGCTAGAATACTTGTCAGAGCACAGAACCAGCTTCGCAATAACCGATAATTCAGCCGTTCTTCTTGAGAAAAATGTGCTAGAGTTCGAACAATAATTGTGCTGAGACGAGTCTGAACTAATTTTGAGAGAACATCGCCATAAATTTCTTCCCAAAAGTCATCCCATTCGGCTAAAATTCCATCTGAAAACACCAGACCACACTCTGATGCCTCCAAAGCCGATTTACGATCAGGCATTTGAACGGAGGTGTCGGGGGAAAAGCGAATAGTGAAAACGTACATGTGTATACGAACCATCATTTCCGCTGCCCCAGGTGTAGATCGAAATTCCACTGGTCGAATGATCTTTGAGCTCAGAAGAAAGCAAAATAATTGAGCGACCGTTCGGAGGGATGTAACCCCTGTCTCTGGTTGGAGGTCATCGTAAGACTTGAAATCGTAGTCGACAAAAGATGTGGTGAAAAATGACAGCCAGCTAAATATGATTGGCCATGATCTTCGTATTGGCATACGAATGGATGGGATATCCTCCGTCACTCTTGTCCCTGGTTTTGGCTGTAGCCCAAGAGCTATTTGCCACAGAACGAAGCGCGCAAGTGCGACTTGATCCGTCGAGTTGAGAGAATCAGTGTGTTCTTCGGGCTTGAACCCAAAGTCTGTTTGCGGTGGACGAATTTCGGATAAGAATTTCAAGAAAATAGGAAGATGGGCCACGAATGTCCGCGAGTCTGTTACTGCGCATAATTCCTGTATATTCTTGAGGGATCCAGATCGAGCACGTCGTCGCAATAACTAGATTGGAAGGTCGAAGCAGCGAGTTTGATCAACGCCAATGATATATCGAAGCGCCACTCACCTCTATCCTCCGAATGTTTTGAGAAGCCATGTAGGAAAGTGAAAGACGAAAGAGTGATACTGAGGCTCCTAAAAGCTAATCTTAGACCCTTGTAAGGCCTTATCTTTCAAGCGTAATCTTATCTAGAATCACCAAATGCATCGGCTAGCCCCTTGCTTGCAGTAATTACTCCTTTCGGGCGCAGACCGAGTAGTGGCAAGCACTCAATATGCCTCGAACTGGTGAAGAGATTTACCGAACATCATAAGATCAGCAGACTAATATCACAGATGTTTGTACGTTGTGGACGAAAAAGACGGGCACCTATAAATTGAAGGTAGACAGACCTTGACAAACAAGAATTTCTTCGGAGGAGAGCTCACAAGAGTCGAAGAATATTGTATGGTAGTCAATAATTATACAAGATTATAGTAAGATTTTGCGCCAAGCAAGTTCCGATGTTTTTCCTTTTGTTCTTCGAGGTAACGCAAGACGCGTCCGGGACTGGCATCCAGTATTAATGAAGGAAGACTCAGAAAGTAGAAATGCTTACCTAGCTGAAGGACCCAATGCCTTGATGGCTTGCTCAGTAGCCTTCCGAGCAGTTGTAAGGTTGGGCAGCTTATTACGAAGTATTCGTGCTGTCTCTTCTCTTCTAGCCTCAGTCGCTGTTTGTATCTCAAGTTCTTCGGTGCGTTTCGCTATCCACGCATTTGCCTCCTCCTCAGATAGCCCTGCTGGCATCCGGGGATCCTTCATAGCAGATTTGACCATCTGGCGTATGCGCATTCCCTCCCAGCCTAGTGTTTTACTTGGCATATTATGCACATAATTATCTATGCCATTGTGCTGGAAACAGGAATTACATCTTTCAATGTCAAGGATAACAAGCAAGGACACACCTTTTTAATCGTTTTCAGCGCTCGCGTCGTTACCTTCACCCTCACGTTCTCATTTAGGGCTTCAGAAAAGAACCGTTTCCGTTGGATGTTAGGAAGCCATGTGCGTCGAGTTTTATGTTTCGAGTGTGGTACGTTGTTACCATACTGCTTGGTCTTTCCTTGGAATAGACCGAGCTGTGATCTTTTGAATGGCTGCGAAACGAGCTGTGCTTTGACGGATGCAACAGGAAACGTCCAGAACATGTTATGGAAGTAGCAAGAACTAAAGGCGCCCAATTATTTCACACGTGTGTTTCTTTGACGCGTCCACTTTCCCATTCGATGCAAGGAAACAGCTACAAGGATGAAAAAGAGGCCTTTGTCTCTGGAATGACTGGATCTACAGTCTCACATATCAATCTGTTATCGTCTGTCGCGCTGGTTTGTAAATCGACATCCACAATCACACAAGCGGACACTGACCGTTATAGGCATCCATGTTTCTCCTGTATTGTGCTCAAACCAGGATCAGACTATCTTCGCTGACCAGCCTTCCATTATCATGGCTATTTCTGGTGTTTCCCTTGCTACTTTCAATGACAATCTTTGCCAACTGGCCTGCCGCGCTTTTACTCTTAATATTTGCACCTGGGGGGCTTTTACTGCTCATACAGCGGAAAGAAAGTGGTACACCTCTACCGTCTAATCTAAAAAGTCCAATTACGCCGAATCCATCATCCCAGACATTCCCTGTTGCTCCCAGAATCGAACCGTTACCATCGTTTACAACGTACAGAGCGCACATGCTTCTGATGACTTGCCTTGCAATCCTTGCAGTTGACTTTCCTATCTTTCCACGCTCTTTGGTTAAATGCGAGACGTACGGTGTTTCCCTGGTCAGTTCAGACTGGCTACCCTTATTATCGCTACCAATATTGACTCTAGATGGATATTGGCGTTGGCTCATTCGTTTTCTCTGGAGGAATCGCATCTGCCATTCCCTTGATCAAAACCCCTTCTCATCTTGCTGCTCCGACATTCCCAAAGATGTTGAGAGCAATGCGAAAGTCGCTGCCTATCATCCTGCTTGGGCTCGTTCGCGTCTTATTAGTCAAAGGAACCGAGTATCCAGTTCGTATTAGGTACCTACATGCGGCATTTAACTCACGACCTCTTGTAGGAGCATGTATCAGAATACGGAGTTCATTGGAATTTTTTCATTACCCTCGCTCTTGTCCCAGTAATGGAAGTGATGCTTCATCCAGTAATGATTCGCGTGTCCGTGACTGCAATAGGCATCGTGGTAGCAATATGTGAGTAACCTCGCTCATCGAGCCAACTCGATATTGATGTTAAACCCTCTTCAGCTCAACAATTGCTCCTCTCCAAATTCGGTCTTTCTGACTATGTCCTCAGTGCCCCTCGAGTGGATCTTATTAGCGCCAACAAGGAAGGAATTGTCTCTTTACCAGGTTGGTGATCCTAAGAATATCTGTGCTGTACATAGATTGACAAGCACAATCTGAAGGTTATTTCTCCATACATTTACTCGGACTCACAACTGGCTTGCTCCTTTTGCCTCCATCACCTTCCTACTTTCGCCGTATTCAAAGATCACTACAGACGCATTCTCTGAATGACAGAGCACTAGCTGAGCGCTACGCGGTTCGGCAGAATGGCAAGACTGCAACGGAGCTTTCTGGGTACCTCGTATTATGGTGGGCGTTGATGGGTTTGTGCAGTCTTTTGAAGCTGGACGGCGGAAACGGAGTTTCTAGAAGAATGGTATGTGGTACTTTCTCAAAGTACATAATTGTGGCTTTATTAACCATGGTTTACAGGTCAACATCTCCTACATTTTTTGGATTTGTGCATACAATGTCAGCTTCATCCTTGCATATCTGCTTTTGGATATGGTCTTCTTCCCTTCCCCTTCCACAACGAGCAAAAAGCAGAAGAATATTGACCAAAATTCCGCATCTTTACATCCAATCTTTCCAACCGTCATCCCTCATCCTCTTCTTGATGCTGTAAATAAAAATGGCTTGGTCGTATTTCTTGTTGTATGTCTCGCTTCACCTTCGTTATGTGTTTACTAAATCATCATTTTAGGCCAATATCGCCACGGGTCTAATTAATCTGACGATACCGACGATGTATACTTCTGACTTATGGGCAATGGTTATCCTTTGCGGGTATAGCTATGCGATATGTACGACGGCGTGGGTCTTGAGAGGCGTTAGGCTTCGGTTGTAAATTACAGTATGCAGCAGTAATAATTCGGCCAGCTTCAACCCAAAATTACATGCCAACGAGAGGAAATGCTCGATATAAATAAGTACCATATTCTAGCAACAATCTCCTCGTCTCCCGGTCTTTCGTGCCAGTGCGTCTTATGCTTAGATAGTGAACCTCTGAAACGGCAAAGTCTTCTAATATGTACATATTCTATATCGTAGCATTGATGCCAACATGAATGATTCTGAGAAGCATAAAGCTCAGCATGAGGTCAAGGTCCACGAGAGACAAGTAGCTTACTCTTCAGCTGAGGTCATCCAGTTCACAGTTTCCGGGAACATAGTGGCTAGAGAAAGAGTGATTTAGCAACTTGTGATAGAGAGTTAACAGAAATCCATACTTAAACGTCTGTATATCTCCTCGATCAGGTACTGGCGAACCCAGTTGGCCATAAAGGTCAAGTATCCAGCGTCGATTTTCTTGCTCACGACGTGGTAGTGTGGGACACTAATTTCGGTCGGTCTATGTACACAAAAAAGGTTTGAAATGCTCACATGTGCGTCGCATGAGAAGATACTGCCTTAATCTTCGCGATAGTTTGTTCGCACTTGTTAGGATTTTGTTGCATTTCCAAATTGCAAAGGCTTTCGACAAGTTCGTCAACCTGTGGTTGGGATGGTTGAAACTTATTCTATCATTGAGGAAACGAAAATCTGACGTTGACATCGAAATGCTCTCGAAAGCCAATGTTATAGGTCACACCATAGCAGCCTATTGGACATCATTAGACAATGAGTTTGGTTGAATAGTGAGTACCACACCTTCAAGAGATCTTGTCTTGACTATCACATATCTATCATCAGGCGCAACACGAGCAATAGGTAACATCGACACGGAGAGAAAGACCTGAACTCTCCCTCAGAAAACACTCCTAAGAAGATGTAATGGTTGCAAGACATACCAGAACCTGTGGCAGAGCAGGCCATTGCCGGATGAAGCCTGTCAAATTTTGAGTAAGACAACTCGAGTAGTCGATGTGTGTATGACATACCAACAAAGGTATGAGGGACTCCTCGGCTTACAGTGAATTTGTGGAAAATGGCCATTGTTGGTATTCTGGTGAGTTCCCGTTTCTCAATTTCCAAGCCCTCGTCTTTGCTGGAGAAGCTCTGGGTCGGTAGGTAGTAGTAAGTCGGTTCGCTGACTTCCTCTTCTTCCTCCACTTGCTCTACGATCTCTTGGCTATCTTTAACCTTACCGATAGGAATTTTGTCCTCTCTCCAAATGAAATGACGAAGATTTTGACGATTAGCACCATCGAAAGCATCTTCCAAACCCTGAAGTATAGTCAAATTCAATGCTTGTAACTTGAGAAGAATAAGACGACCCACTTTGGACCATGTCCAAAACACCATGAATATCATTCTACCAGTGGTTGGTAAATCTCCAGAGATGTAGAATTATTGGAACACATACAAGATGAGGCCGATCATCAGCGGAACCCAAGCCCCATGAGGAACTTTCTTCAATGCGGCACCCCAGAAGAGTCCATCAAAGAAACCGAAGGTTAGGAAATAGCTTATAGCAATAAGGATAGGCCAACGCTTGACATAAACCATTTGAACCGCAAGCAAAAGACTGGTCGAAAACATGACAGTGGCAACTGCGAAACCATACGCGTTCGTCAGGTTTGTGAGATTGGAAAAGACGGCCACAATGATGACGGTTATTATCATCAAAGTCCAATTCACGGCGGGTATGTAGACCTGACCCATGATGGTTTCAGAAGTATAGTGCATGCGTATGGAGGGGAAGCTCTTCATGTTGACGACTTGTTGGAAGAGACTGAACGTGGCGGTTATCAAAGCTTGAGATGCTACGAACTAAAGAAAGAGTCAACTAGGTGTATGGGCCAGTTCGCGGACGGACGTACAGTAGCTAATATTGCAACCGCGTATACGATCCTGATTGTGCGATTCATAAAAGAAGACTAATGAATGAGAGCATCAACGCACCAGAACAAGGGGCCATTCTCGGAACCAGGGATAGACTTGTAAAAGGCGTTCTGGATGACGTTCTCCCCATCAACAATGAGACGGGCGCCCTGTCCCAGGTATGCCAGAACCAGTCCAGGATATACAAAACAACAGAATGATATCTGCGCCCAGATTTCAGTATCAGGAGAAATAAGAGCTGGTGCAAATATTCTTACACGGATGGAAGCTGCATTGAATTGTCCAAGATTTGCGAATACTGCCTCGCAACCAGTCAAGGCCAGAAGAATTCCCGCAAGGAGATCGTAGTTCCGGGTACGCACGAATACTGCCGTGGAAGTTAAGTGTTGAACATAGAAATGTTAAACGGTGAAAGACATACAAAGGACTGCTCGAGAAGGGTCCAGTGCGCGGAAAATGCCAGGATAAGTGGTGATGTTGTAGATTCCGGTACCGATGAGAAGGAGAAACCAGAGAAACGCGACTTTTGTCGAAATGTCATCATATAGGAATTTGCGCCTTATATCACGGCACACTTACTGGGAGCGAACGCAAAAGCCAATCGACCTGTCCCGAATTGCTGAGCCAAAAAGAGCACCACCAGAAGAGCCTAAAGAGGGAGGTATGTATTGAAATAACGTCCATTCTGTTTTTTTAGTGCTTACTATAGAAATAGGAACAATCTGAGCCTCGATAGAGGATTTCGCTACCGCAATACCCCCGACTGCAGAAGTAACACTGACGGCAGGAGTAAACACACCATCCGCCATCGTCAATCTAATCAGAAGTTTCACAAGGAGACCCGAATTAGAGCAAGGAACAGACGAACGCGGTGCCAAGTAAACACTGGAAAGAGAAGACGAAATAAACAACGACAATTTGTTAGTTATTAGAGTTATTAAACAACGTCCGACTTACCCAAACCAGAAGGGGTGCCCGAAGGACTTCCTTGAGACGGGAGCTTGTGCTCTTCGACGACTTGATATAGCTTTCGCCGGTAAGAGTTCTATCTCCATCGCTCTCATCCTCAGGAGGGTATAGACCTTGATACAGTGCGAATGACCCTCCTTCTCCTGTGTGGACGATTTAATAAGCGACGACAATGAGCATTGAGCAACAGACCTTGAGTGGTACCGAACATCAACGAGATGAGAACCTAGTATGATATGAACTAAATTCAGAGGGCAGTAATTGTGCTGCAAGCATTGGAATGGCGTACATATTTTATCAACGGAAGGAGGGTCAGGCTCCAGATAATGGCACTGATGCCCCCAATCACATCTTCCTTCGATGGAACAGGGCCAGAGGAGGGCCATATTCCGTTGAGCACATACAAAGGCGAAGTCCCCTAAAACGAGAGAAGAAGAAAAAGTTAAACTCAATGCAAAGTTGGGATGACATCGAAGAACCGACAATGTCGCTATATATAATCCCTTCTCAGAAGCTTGAGCATCGTCATTGATGTGAATGTTACTTGAAACCAGCATACCAAGACTTTGGAAGCTCAGAGAAGCCAACGCAGCACCGTGCACCTTAAGCGCGGTTCTTTTATGAGAAACACCATTCTCGAGCAAAGAGGGATTGGACATTCGGATAAAGAGCGAAAACAAAGGACAGAAGAAATTGTATAGCCAGATTTACCATGATTTATATGGATCTGAATTGTCTCTTTGGAATTTCCAAAGACATATCAGAGCATATTTACCAGACTTGGGTGAGGGATTATGGCCATAGGAGACTGAAGCGGAAACGTCGGGTCACTGGTTGTTACCCGACGTCTCATGCCATATTGGCATTAAGGAGGCACTCTGGTACAAGGCGATGCGATTAGCCCACCTTTTGAGCAAGTCAAAGCAAGTCCAATTCGCAGCAGGTTCGAGGTCAGATTTAGCTTTTTCCCATGATCTGAAATTGTCTTAGCGCTCAACACGTTTCCGCTACAACTCCGCTTCTCCCATTGCCAAACACATACAGAGTGCTCAAGATCATTGTTGCGATTCAACAATCAAAATGTCGTTCTTCAACTCAATAGGGTTCGATTCGACTTCCTTGGATTGGTGTAGCGCGTTAATTGTATTTCGTTTCTCTCTAGTCGCTCTATGACAAGGGCACCCAGAGCCCCAAAACGCTCACCTACACCAACTTCAGCCACCTTCTCACCCACCGAATCTACTAGTAGCAATCATAATACTCCCACTCCTTCATCGCCTGTAGTGCCAGCACCCGCCAAACCCCTCTATCTCTGCAGTCCGTTCGTGGAAGCCGCATTAGTAAAGGGAAACTTTAAAACAATTGTTATGCTACCTAAATATGTTGATATCATGGAATGGGTCGCTGTTAATGGTCAGTTTCAACCCACCATCAATTCAAGCTCTCTATCTCAATTCGATTTGCTTCTAGTTTACGATTTTTACACCAACCTCAATGAATTTTATGGCGTCCTCTCAGAATGTTGCACTCAACAATCATGTCCGACTATGTCTGCTGGTCAGACGTACGTGCATTTCCTCGTGTCCTAGCTTTTGATTTCCATCGGGTTGCAGGTTGAACTTTACTTGGATCAACCAAGATCGGAAAAGTGTGAATTTGCCAGCGCCTACATACATTGACTATGTCATGTCATGGTTGCAGAACCTTTTGGACGACGAAAGCGTGTTCCCGACAAAGTCAGGTATGCAACCAAACGTCCTCAGTGTTCAATATCCACTAAGTCGATTATACAAAAGGCCAGGACTTTGCTCCCTCGTTTCCTGCTACCGTCAAACATGTTTATCGTCAACTTCTTCGAGTGTTTGCTCATTTATACCATGCCCACTATCACCAGATTCTCCACCTCCGCTCAGAGCCACATTTCAACAGTCTATTTGCTCATTTTCTTGCGTTTGGACGCGAGTATGAGTTATTGGAAATGAAGGATGTCAAGGGCTCGTCGTCCTCGCCTGTTGGGATTGGCGCATTATGGGAGCGTTGGAGGGATATGGGGATTCTAGAAGCGTAATTGCGATACCCTACACCTTTAACTCATGCGATGTCTGGTACATATTCTTCCTGCAATTTCAAAATGTATCACTATGTAGTTAGTAGTCAGTGAAATGATAAAATTGTAGTTGGGCGTCAAATAAGTGATGTGTATGAATGTGACTACGCGGTCGCTGTCGCAACTTTGCATTCATCTCGCTTGTAACGCAACAAATTCGCTCCAGATTTTTTCTTGTTTGTCGAGGGCAGCTTCTGTAGTGAGGTGAACTCTCATTCGCGGTAATATGTCCTTCTTTGGGTATGGTATTCTTCATCGATGGCCCTTGTCTTGACTGTTAATGCATTTTCACACTGCAGCCGTAGGCCCAAAAGATCTCCAACACCCACAGGATCGTTGTCACGACAGAACTCATTGACGGAGGGTGATGGTTCCAACGCGAAACCGTTATATCTCTGTAGTCCTTTCGCTGACGCTGCGTTGGTCAATGGTAATTTCAAAACAATCGTAATGTTACCCAAGTATGTCGACGTTATGGAATGGGTTGCTGTCAACAGTTCGTGTCCTTTTGAATATTTAGACTATCTTCTTATTGACTCATCTGACAACCAGTTTACGATTTCTACACAAATCTGAATGAATTTTACGGGTGCATCACGGAATGTTGCACGCAGAGTTCGTGTCCTACAATGTCTGCAGGCTCGAAGTATGTCCCAGCTTCCGCCTCGTAGAGTCTGAACTTATTGCTTATGTCTCTCTAGTTTGAACTATCTCTGGACAACGCCAGAACGAAAGCAGGTCTCACTCTCAGCGCCGACATACATCGATTCGGTCATGTCCTCTGTCCAAAATCTCTTGGAAGATGAAAATGTTTTCCCTACCAAGTCAGGTTGGTTTTCATTTTCGTGAAAGGAACGTGTAAGACTGAGTATCGATTAGGTCAGGACTTCCATAAGGAATCGTTTCCAGTCACCATCAAACACGTTTATCGCCAATTCCTTCGCATCTTTGCGCATATATATCATGCGCATTTCCACCAGATACTCCATCTTCGCGCAGAGCCTCATTTCAATTCTCTGTTTGCCCATTTCCTTGCCTTCGGTCGGGAATACCAACTGTTGGATGAGAAGGACATCCGCGGTGACCCTAATGCCCCAGTAGGTGTTGGGTTACTTTGGGAGCGGTGGAAAACGTCCGGTAAACTTGAGAAAGGTGCTGGCGAGGCTTAGGCATTGTTATGTTTTTCTTCTCCTTCTAAGTTGCGTGGAGTCTGGGTCGATTTATACCATCATGATTTCGAAATCAGGAACTGTAATCATAGACAACATAGGATGGATTCATTTTGACAGGATCGTGTTATCGATGGGATACCTTTCAATAACTTGAGACCCTATGTACATACATAGGAACTGGAGGTTGATCTAGGTCGATAGAGGTTGAACGTTGACGCGTTGACGCGCGCGTCACTCACGAGAAATATTTTTCGCAATGCGGCGTTTTCTTTCTCACGGGCAGTAACGCCGCGTTGCTCAGAAATTTCTGCATCTCTACATAGATCCCGGTCATGTCGTCCATTGAGCTCATCAACCCTAAAGCAGAAAGCGTTAGACGAGCTGCTGCTCTTCAGGTAGACCTTGTCTTTCGTGATGATTCCTCATAGCCTCACAATGAAGTCAGGTCAATACTAATGGAGCGATGGGCCTTGCCAATGTCGTCAAAGGCAATCTTGGTACGTTTCGAATCGTACACAACGTTAAGCTCTTGCTTAAATGTTATGCAGGCCCTCGTGGAACTATGAAGATGCTTGTAGATGGGGCTGGCCAGATCAAAATGACAAAAGACGGAAAAGTACTTCTGTCAGAGATGCAAATACAAAATCCTACCGCTGCCATGATCGCTCGTACTGCTGTCGCACAGGACGATCAAGTTGGTGATGGTACGACGAGCGTTGTCCTTCTCGTTGGAGAACTTTTGAAACAGGCGGATCGATACATCAGTGAAGGAGTTCATCCGACCGTCATCGCTGAAGGATTTGACTTGGCAAAGAAGGAGGCATTGGCGGTGTGTTCTTTCTTTTCCCAATTTGAGCCTTGCCTCATGTTCACGTCGCGTATTCCTATTCCTATTTCTTATGTGTTCAGTTCTTGGATACCTTCAAACAACCTTCGAAATTAGACCGCGCCACCTTGATTAACGTTGCGCATACTTCGCTATCAACGAAGCTCAACGCTGGAATGGCCAAACAACTAGCTGCTGATGTAGTAGATTCTGTCCTTTCCATCCAACCACCTCCACCGCCTAAAGGTGCGTTTTTCGAGATCAAGATTCTGTATGCTTATATCCCTCCTAGAGTCCAAGGATCAATGGAGAGATCCAATCGATCTTCATATGGTCGAAATCATGAAAATGCAACATCGGACAGCTTCCGAAACACAGTTGGTTCGCGGGTTGGTCTTGGACCATGGCGCGCGACATCCTGATATGCCTAAGCGTCTCGAAAATGCCTTCATCCTCACTCTAAACGTTAGTTTAGAGTACGAAAAAACGTGCGTCGAGAGTTCGACAAGTTTTCGCCCTCCCTCCAATTAACATTGACTCGTTCACAGAGAAGTTAATTCCAGTTTCTTCTACTCGACAGCAGAACAGAGAGAGAAACTCGTTGAGTCCGAGAGAGCCTTTACTGACGCCAAAGTTCGGAAAATCATCGAACTCAAGAATCTGGTGTGCGACCAGGCGGTAAACAGTAAAGAAAAGAAGAAGAACTTTGTGATCATCAACCAGAAAGGTATCGATCCGATGAGTCTCGATATGTTGGCGAAGAGTGGAATACTGGCGTTACGGAGAGCGAAACGACGAAACATGGAACGGCGAGTGATACATTCGATTCCCTATATTAAATACTGATTTCGGATCCGCTCACATCCACAGTCTTCAACTCGTGTGCGGTGGAAGTGCTCAGAACTCTGTTGACGACTTAACTCCAGACGTCCTAGGATGGGCCGGTCTTGTCTATGAACACACCCTCGGCGAAGAAAAGTTTACTTTCGTTGAGGAGGTCAAAAATCCAAAATCAGTCACTCTTCTCATCAAGGGACCCAACGCACATACCATCCAACAGATCCAAGACGCATTGCGTGACGGACTGAGAGCGGTCAAAAATGCCCTGGAGGACGAGGCTTTGATTCCTGGGGCTGGTGCGTTCGAAGTGTCATGCTCGGCACATCTAAGTGGACCTGTGAAAAAGTCTGCGAAGGGTAGAGTCAAGATGGGTGTACAAGCGTTTGCAGACGCGTTACTTATTATACCAAAAACGCTTGCAGCAAATGGTGGGTTTGATGTGTTGGATGTGATCGTTGCTCTACAGGTAAGGATTGAATAAAGCCTTCTGTGGTTGACGTTAATATCCTTGTTTTTCAGGATGAATGCGCAGAGGGCAACATCGTCGGTGTTGATTTACAGGCTGGAGAACCGTTCGATCCCACAGTAGAAGGGATCTGGGACAATTACCGTGTTAAAAGGCAAATGCTTCATTCCTGGTACGTTGTCTTATAATTATTTGTCGACTGTTTTTAATGCGTTGTTCGTCAGTTCTGTCATTGCAGTCAACCTTCTATCCACAGATGAGATTCTGCGAGCTGGTCGAAGTTCATTAAAACCAGATGGTCAATAAATTTATAGTATTCTGTATCTCAAAGCTTTTCCTCGAGGACCGAGGGTTTATGATAATTTCTCAGTACTCGAGGAAATCTGCAGTTGTAAGACTCCGAGGGGGCTCGGGGTTGCTGCGGATGTTACAAGAATTTTCGAAACTTCTGTGTAGAGTGGGAAAGACTGCAACAACAGCACGCTAATAACAACCGGCTCCCGCTAGTCTTCGTTGGCTGCGGGGTATAATATTCGAGATTGAGTCTGGTTGTGTTGACGACGATTCAAGCAGGACATACAGTAACTATCAGAAGAATATAATCATTGAACTAGCAATGTACACATCGCTGTGTGGTAAGTATAAAATACATCCAGGCATCGAACGTCCTGTCCCTGACCGATAATGGAAGATGAAATGAGAAAAAAAGAAATTGGGACCTGTGAGGGTAAGGTTACAACAAAAGTCCAATACCAACACCAAACACTGCTACTAGACCAGCAATCGCGCTTGAAGCTAACGCTGTAGCACCATTGGCAGTTGTGGCAGCTCCTACAGCAGACTGCGATGCAACGGCAGCACTTGCACTTGCTACAGTGGATCCAGAAGCGGTAGAAGCGGTGGAGGTCCCTGAAGTTGCTGCACTGGCGGTTGAATTGGTCGTGGTGGAGTTGGTACCTGTAGCAAGAGCGGCAGCCTGGAAAGCCTCGAAGCTCTTTGCAGCAGTTGGGTTGACGGCAAATACCATTCCATCGTTTGCGCAATGGCTATGTGATAAGGGTCAATTATGGTATGAAAGTCATGGAGACCTATCACGTACCCAACTTGAGCGCAATAAAACCAGAGGGGCTAAGCAGTAAGTAAACGATGAGCTTAAGCGTTTGAATGACGTAAAACTATACGAACAGCACTCGTATTCGTCAAAGTGAAGCTCCAAACTGGGAATGTGGTTGCATTTGTAGCGACAGCTTGAAAGCCCGAGTCAACTCCACCAGCCCTGAAATGGTATCGTCAATAGGACACTTAAGAAACAACAGGGAATGAGCATTTACAAAGGAGTACAAGGTGCAGCAAAACTGGATTGAGTGAGTGTCTGAAAGCAACAAAACGCGTGTCTGATCGATAGTTTTAAGCCTTAAATGGACAAGATCATACGTGGTTTTTGGAAACACTTTGAGGAAGAAACATGGTTAGAGAAGCAAAAACAACTTCGGAATATACACGTACAATTGGAATTGGATGACATCTCCGTTAGTGGCATTGACTCTGAAAAAATCTTTGGTCAAAGGTTCTTCATAAATTTGATATGATACGAACGATGTCGGGTTGTAAGTAATTGTGGAATTACCACCCACGATGACGGTAAAAGTTTCGGCAGCGACAGCTGACACGAGAGCGGCGGCAAGAGCGAAGAAACGCATTTTTATCGAGGAAAAAGGAATAATGGATGTAGAGATAAAAATGACTGTGACTAGGACTGCAAGTCTGAAAGAGCCTAAACAACAAACGTTATTTAGTCAATAAAATGCGAAAATTTGACAAGATACGAACGCTGCTCTGTGAAGGAAGGAGAAGGGAAGGGGAAAGGGTACAGGGGGTGCTGGAGGACAAAGGATAAGGGACAATTAGCGACGCCGTGCCTCTTATATGTGCGCTCCGAAGACTGGATATCCGTTACGACATCGATTTTCGTCAAATTCCAGATTCCCATCCTGTTTCCATCTCATCCGTAAACCGTCCGCAAATGCCGTACTTACATTCACGCTTGATGTCCCAGCCTGAGCAGTGCTTGTGCTTGGTTATCGTCTTCCAAAAAGTTCTCCCGGTGCAGCGACTACCGCTGATTGCTGTAGTTCAAATACCTGCCTACCACTCAAGCACTGATGCCTATTGACGTCCACTCTCATTGTATGACAACTGGGAGGGCTCGCGGTTCAACCTTTTTGAATGAAGGGTATGCGAGAAATAAACGTCAAGGAAGGCGTTTAAGCCCCAGAGATCAATGATTATCTTCAAATAATTTTACTGTAAGGATCGTACATTTTCAACATTTATAATTTACCTCTAGTGTACTTATCTTCGTGTTCTACAGACTACCCTCTGATAAAAGGATGGACCAGCGCCTCTCGAGGTGTGATTCTTCTGGCAGGATCGAGAACAAGACATTTGTCCAGCAAATCGATGAAGGATGTCAACAGTTTGTTCTCGTCATCCTTCATTTTCACCGATGTCGGGGGCATCAAACGTGAACGCAGATCCCGCACGGGTTTTGAAAGATGAACCTTCTTCACGACATCCTTTAACGAACGATGATTTAGTGGCTGTGGAAGATTGAAAGAAGTGCAATTGATTTACAGTGCCTAGAACTCGGTCCTTTTCAACGCTGTTAAATCCTCCCATATCATCGAAGTAACTGTCGCCAAATTTGGCCTTTTTAATAATCTTGCTGTTGAAACGGCCCTTCAATTCCATCATGAGGAGGAGCATGTGATTATTGGAGCGACCAGGGAAGAGAATTTTGCCTGTGTAAAGTTCGTATAAGGTACATCCTATGGACCATATATCGATGGAAGGATCATAAGGAATACCCATGACTTAAATACCGAGATGAGAAAGAGGAATTTGAGATGTATATTAATCGTGACTCAACTAATTTCTGGGGCACGATAGAACCGACTAACAAGATAGGGTGTGATCTCGTTTTCAGACGCGTCCGAGGCTGAACCTAAATCGCAGAGCTTCAGAAGACTCTTTTGTTCATTGACCTAAAGCTATTAGTTGATAACTACACAATGTGGAAAGAACATACAACGAACCAAAATATTGTCTGGTTTTATGTCAGCGTGCATCACGCCAATCTTTTTGAGCAAGCCCAATGCCAAAAAAAGCTGATGGGCATACGCTCGAACTGCTCGAATATTGAGACCAACATCTTTACCAAATCTCTTTACAACATCGCGCAAGTTCATGCTAATGAAGATGAGGGACTGATATTGGAACGCGTCTAATCAACGCACCTCAAACTCTCAAAGACAATGCATAGGTGACCGCGATGCTCGAAAGTTCTTTCAATCCTGACGATATGTTTTTTGTCGTCTGGATCAGCTTGCTTAAGTTTATTCAGCATTTGCACCTCTTTGAGACCAGCTTTGTACCTACAAGAGACAAGGGTGAGTGTTAACTAATAGAGGAGAAAGGTAACGTGACAAACATGGATTCCTGGCATCGCACGATCTTGATAGCTACTTCACGTCCAGTGGGCTCGTTTGCTTCGGGAACCAGTACGCGGGCCCTAACGACATTGGCAAACATGCCTTTACCGAGAGACGAAAAAACTTGATATCTCCCACCGTCAAGCTGCTCACCCAGAATTACTGCGTAGTATCCCTCGGAGTCAGCTGCGGAATCCAAATTTGAAGCGATTAATGCAGGGGCGGCCTTCTACTCGTATTGGTTGTATTAGGTCAAGGGGACCCATGACATGGCAAGGGGACGTACCGTGACTTTTTTCACCTTTTTCACCTTCGGCTTGTCATTCACAGCCACTGCGAACATGTCATCTACGTCGTCTTCGTCTTCTTCTTCCACCACCTCTTCAACATCTTCTTCTTCGACCTTGACCAGTGGTTGTATCCGTTTGCCTTCGTCCTCCCTTCTGTCTAAGCTGGGGTCATAATCGGCAGCCAAAATTTGTTCTCCGACGTTTGCATTGACGTTCTCCTCTTGCTTCTTCAATTCCGAAGACTTTTCATCGTCCTCTTTAGCAAGTGCGAAGTCCTGACCGAGAGAAGGTGAGGGAGAAAGTGAACCTTGTTTGCCTAGATTCGACGTGAGAACATAGATCTGATACTAGTAAAATACTTACCAGATGATCCGTTAACGGTGTTTTGTTGATGCAAACTACTATCGTGTGAAGCGTGGTCAGAAACTGTAGAAGGTGTTTGAAGTGCTTGAACCGCACTGCTAAACCCAGTAGTAGTGACGGGACTGGGGCTGACACTAACGCCAATATTTGTATATTTTGCTAATATAGCCTGCCGCTTGGCTCGTCGACTGGCAAGAGTTTCTTCTACAGGAGGCGGAGATGGCGGGATGTCCAACTCCATTTCAGGTAATGTTTCCGGTTCTGGATGCGGTTTGGGCGACAAAGAAGGGGGTAGTGCACTGTTCTGCATCACAGGACTGGGCCGGGGCGATATCCTGATGAAAAGAAGACAGTGTGTGAACGTTGGTCCATCGACAGTCCAACATGAAAACCTCACGATACTCACTCGCCTTCTTCTTTCTCTTCATCGTGTCTGGGCGTTGAGCGAGGCGGAGTTGGATCCAGCCTCCTAGGTTCCGTTCTTTTATCGCGACTATCGTCTCTATCCCTCCTAGATTTGCCATGCTCTCGGCTTCTTCGCCTGCGCTCTGCATCGTGATGACTCCTCCTATCTCTATCGTAGCTGTCTCTTCTATTGCTAGGCGAGACTTTGCGGGACGATGTTTTCAAATGAACGTCTCTCCAGTCCTTGGGATCGTCCCTCGGTCTTTTTCGATCCCGGCTTTCACTATTAGAACTTCCGCCTGCACCATCCAAAGGCCGCTTTGATCCTGCAGGTATGTTAGTCATTCCCAAGTAGATATTATGGTTTTACGGAGCACCGCACGATGAAGAAAAGAGAAATATGGCGTAACCGGATTGAAAACTTGGGATGAAGATGGACGTTACGGTCCAAGAAGCCGGTATTGACTTATGTTTACGTCAGTTGGCTTCACTCCACAAACACCACCCCTTCAGTGAAGTTCAACCCCATATCTTAACAAAGTCAGAACAAAGTATTCGATATTCTAGTGGACATCATGAGCACGTATAAATACGAAAATAGGCAGTTGTACGGTGGTTAGGAGTATACTTTGATCGGAAGTTGCTCTTCAACCACCATGTCAAGACTCTTGCGGGAAGTGCAGGCAAAGCGGTGGGCTCTCTCATAATGCTCGCAAACACGGTCAAGGGCCTATCACCCTACCACATGCGTATGATGTACAAGAGCTGCGTGGTTCCTGTCATGACATATGCAAGCGCAGCGTGGTGGACGGGGAAGATTACGCATGAACGACTACTAGAGAAGGTACAACACCGTGGACTACGACTAATCTGTGCAGTCTTTCGCACTACACCCATAGCAGCAATGGAGATTGAGGCATCTATTCCACCGGTTCGGGTGGAACTTAATCGCTTGAACCGAAACTGTGCATTACGATTCAACAAGCTAAGTACATCCAACCCCATCATACAAAGACTTGATAATACATGGAGAGCAGGAAGGCCACCATCGCGCCCCCCAGCTGTCCACTACAAGCTAAATCGGAAGGGCAAGAAAGATGAAAACCGCACAACCCAACTCCAGAACATTGCGCGCCTCACCAACTCTAGCGACGAACGCCTCCTTCCCTTCTCCACACCACCATGGCGAAGGGTGGGATCAGACTTTGGAAACCGACTCCGCTTTATCCCACCACCACCTAAAGGGAAAGAGGAAGACAAGAAGAAGAGAATGCACAAACAAGTCCAAGAACACAAAACAAAGCTAAGTATCCTTCAATCACATTCAAAAAACCTGTGTATATATACAGATGGGTCTTTGAAACCCATCCGCCGTATACGGAGAGCAGGTGCGGGACTAGTGGCCTATCAGAATAATATAGAAATGTTCAGCCGAAGCATTGGGCTGGGCTTTCATGCAGAAGCATATGATGGGGAGATTGTTGCACTCAGCTATGCCGCGGGCCTTGCAGCAAATATGTCCTCCCAAGATGACTCTATCACTCACTGGCAATTCTTCACAGATAGCGCTTCAAGCATCGACTCAATATTCGACACCTCTCCCAAGCCAGGCCAAGTGTATTGCTCTAACTTCTACCGAAAAGTAGTGGAGTTTCTGGACTCTGACCCATTACATTCAGTTGAAGTGGCATGGGTGCCGAGCCACATAGGTATAATCGGCAATGAACGTGCTGACTTCCTAGCCAAAATGGGAACAGAACAGAAAAATGAGGCAATGTGGGGGAGGTCACGATCAAATGCTCTGCGGTTAAATAAGGTGCGGGCAGAGAGAGAATGGAAGAAGAAATGGGAATCACGTTCAACCTATGGGCGTTTCGCAATTGCCAACCAGCTCCCACCCTCCCTAAAACCAACAAAGCGGCTGAAGGAAACACCAAGGGAAGTGTTCGGACGACTAACACAATGTCGGACAGGCCATGCCTTCCTAGGCGAGTACTATGCTCAGTTTGTACCTGGTGAGAACATTAACTGCCCTTGTGGCGAAGATCTGCAGACCCGCGAACACATATTACGTGCCTGCCCTCGATATGACAACTTTCGGCACATACTCAGGAAAGCATCGGATGATATCTGCTTGAAAGAGATACTTGGAACGGAGGAAGGAATTGAGGCCCTCACAGAGTTCCTGGAAGAAAGTGGGGCATTCACTAAAACAGGAAAACAGCGCCCAATCGCTGAAGCACCAATGTACACACCACTGGGCATCAGGGAGGAACTTGAAGCCATGTTCCATGGCCCAACCGGGGAAGAAATGACTCCGGAAGCTGATTGGAGGGAGGAGGTCATAGACTCCGACAACTCCGATACTGAGATATAACAAACACAACCTATACCATACCACCACCTACTAGCTGAAACACAAAACCCGAGACCGTTGGTGCGGCAAGCTCACAACTTGCTAGCGTGGGTTTTGGCTTTCCTGTTGCAGGAGATGTAACAGGTTAGCTGCCCAAGTCCAGCAAGAGCCAGATAGGCCACAGAGCGGATACGCCTGCAATGTGGACTTGGTTTTCCCTAACGGTTATTCTCCTTACACGGGCAGAGTGTGAAAACTTTCCTTTTCCTTTATCAGGCCATTTTGCTGGCTGAACACTACTTTATACACTACAAATACATACCGAACAACCCTACGACCCACAGCTCTACCACCACGCAGGGACCCAATCAAGGTGTACCCATATCAGAAGAATGGAGAAAGGCAACAGACGAGGATATTACTTATTTGTTTCCGTGACTCCCCGCGCCTTAGTACCTAGACTTACTTACTTGCGGTTAATGAAGAGTTTAAAAAAAAAAAAAAAACTAACACCCTTCTATGGCCGGTTCCGTTACGACAGCGTTGAGCGACTGATTGAAGTTCCAGTCTAAATCTTTCGTCTAGCAAATACATGAATATGTGCGAGTCCGGGTACACTCTGTAGACGCTGTACATGCGATGTCGACCATTGGATAGCAATTTTTGACTGGAAAAAACAACACTCACTGGAGGGTTCACAAACCAAGCCGTCTCCCACTCAATTTCCTTCCATTTTCTTTCAATGTATCCTTGTACGTGGCTACCTACCTGGCGTACCAATGTTTCCTCTTCTTCCGTGCCCTTTTGAGAAATAATCATTTTCTCTTTGGTTACCCCCCATTCAGATAGCGCGGGGAGACAGGAGGAAAGGTTTGAAGGCGACGGAGGAGGCGACGTGTTACCAGTGAATCCCCACAATCCGTCTTGCTCGATCCTGGGCGCAATAGATGGAGGAATGATTTCGGGATGGAAAATTGGGACTTTGGTCCACACGAGAGAATGCTCTACTTCGGGGGGAACTGGGAGTAGCCATTATAAATTTTCGAGGAAGACTATACGATGAAGATTATCCGAGGACAGCGACGTACCCAAATACGGCCAGTCATTTTGTATAATACTGACATACTTATCTGGGGTATCGGAAGTAAAATATGGTGGTGGAACATTGGCATCGGAACCTCGTGTGCGATTGTCAGGCTCATCCCTGAAAGCCGAAGGTGAAACTGAGAGTGTATCTGGCTTTCCCCATTGCAGGCGATAGTTCAATAAATAATTCACTGTCATCCATTAATTTAATCTATAAGTAGCTGCCAGTGAAGATGCTTAGGATTGAAAATCAAGATCTCACCGATGGAGCCGTATTCTTGTTTCATACCAGCGGTCCAGGCCATGTATCTTTTCTGAAGATTTTTATCTCGCTTCAAGAGACCCAGATCGCTGATCAACTCTCTGTTCAATTCAACAGTCATTGCTTGCGAGAACACCAACTTGCCCAGAGTTTACGAATGTCTTGATCTGCTTCCATGTAAATTTGGCAGGATAGTGAGCTAACAGTTCTTCTCGAGTAGGAGGTCCAGTACCAAGAGGTACAGAGGATACATCGCCCACGTCTGTACTAGTAGGCATTATTTGGATCGAAGAACGCCACTACGCGCTTGCATAAGCGCCAGCTCTGTTTCCAAACCCACGATGTCGTCCTGGAGATTTTCTGGGAATCCCAGCAATTCCCGAGGCTATGATCGAGGATTCAGAGGGAGAGGGAGAGCTTCGTGGTCATCACAAGGTCGAGGCGCCTCGACCTTGAATACGAGCAATCGGCAGCTAGAGAATATCGCTTCTGTTAGTAGGTCCAGTGGTGTTGAGAAAGACGGTGACGCGTGAGTATCCAAACCAGCCCAGCCAAGTATGCGTTTGTGAGTACAGATCCTAGTTCTGCAGGCTGAAAGACCACAAAACACAAGAGGAATACCACGAATTTATCCAGGGCAAGGTATGAGTTTCACATTCACAAGTGTTTTCCAGCTAGGTATCTGATTCATTCGTGCAGCTGGACTCATTCTGGAAAAGCCCCCCCTCAACTGAGCAACAAACTCGGGATGCTCAGGAAAATCTATTGATTCTGATACGTGGGTGTCATGTTCAGTGCATATCCAGGCAGACACTCAACCTATTTGTAGGGAAATTGAGAGAAGGCATAGTAGCTTCCAAGAGAAATGATGCTTTTGCGGTCGAAGGTAAAACGCGTTCGAACTCAGTATTCAGATGCACGACCTTAACCTCCATTTCAGTTTGCGAAACCTCATTGTATATCGCCACGCTGTTCAATCACCCCAAGCAGCTCAGTTCTATTCTACCCTACTTTATTCCACATCCATCAGATTCGACTGCCGAAGTTCTTTCGCAGCAAAGTTACTCCATGTGCGCAATCTTCATTGCGCTCATCAATCAACTCATCCTTGGATATCCCTCCCAAACGTTGTACCGGCAATCGATTCACTCCATTCCAGATTTACTCTTGCGACGGTCCTCAAGATCTCATCGCTGGATATCGAGCCTTTCCTCATCCCTTTGGGCCAATAACTTTTCTAAATCTGAACAGCTGACACGACGGTCCTCAATCACATCGTTGTTAGATGAGCTCCTGCCTGACTCACTTTCAGCCCACTTTACCGATCTTTCGCTCTCGTCTCACTCGTCGAAATCGAATCGTGATGTTGCACGAAAGGCGTTTTTTCATGCTGTTGATATGTTAAGAGTCAAAATCAGAAACTCTGCTTGGAACATCATACGTTCGTCGTACAGGGAATTATCGTGCAATGCAAATTCGGAAACAAGAGATTGGTTGAATCGTTCACTTTCTTTGACAGTCGCACATTCCGAAGATATATGTGATAGCTCTCTTGATGTTTGGCTCAAGGAGAAGAGCGCGGCTGGTCATATTCGATCTAAGGAGGGTGTAGAAGGACGATGGGTCTTTTGTAAGAAATAGATGTGATAAGACTTCGCTGAAGTATTTCGACTGTTCTGGATTCGTTGCAGGCATATGTTGTATATGTATATTGTATTGAAGTGCTTGAGAAGATATTATTTTGGTATATGCATCGGTCCACACCATTCCTAATCGATTGAACATTCCTCGTCGAGTAAACCATATTATTCGATCTCGACCTTCGACATAAGATTTGCGAGCTCATCAGCCTCGTATTTTTCGGTCTTTCCTTGGAATGCTTTCTCCTCCAAGTCCATTTCAAGTTCCGCCTCCTTCTCAGCTCGTGCCTCAGCTTCTTCTTCTGCATCCTCCTGTTCCTGTTCCTCCTCGTCTTCATCAGTGACAGACAACTTCCCTCCCCTCTGCTTCATGCTCACTCTCAGAGCACTCAGATGCTCATCTTCCTCCTCGAAGTCGTTCCACTGTAGCTCCAAATATTTCAAGTTCCGCATATTTTCCATAATGTTTTCCGCCAGTAATTGAGATGTTTCTCCCTCAAGGTTGTTATTTTGCAGCTGCAAAGAGTGCAATTTGGGATTCGATCCCTCCGCGAGGACAGTGACGAGCTCCGGTACTTCTCCGTTTGCTGAGAGAAAACAGTCGGAGAGGTTGAGGGTGTGCAAGTCTGGCCATGCCCTTAATGAGTTTGCCCAAGCTTTCACACCAGTAAGTCCACCCTCGAAGGTGAACGTGTTATCCTGCAGATCGATATACTGCAAGTTGCGGTTCTTGGCTAAACCACCTGCAAGAGCTGTTATGCCATCCATCCGAATCCCGTTCTGTGGCATGCGGACTTCAATCAAACCTCCATGAGCTGCGAAGGCTTCAGCCCAGGCGGAAGCCGAGCCATCTTCTAATCGATTACGTCCACAAATGAATGTACGCAGGTTGGACGTTTTCCCCTCTGCCTTGCTGAGCTTGGCGGAATCTAAGAGAGCATTGGCGAGTACCTGTCCTCCAGCGGGACCGAGACCGTTATTATTGAGCTTCAACACCTGGAAGCTTCTGTTCTTCGTAAGGAACGGGACCATGGGGTCGACCGAACGCCCTCCAAAAGCGTTATCGCTGAGATTGAGCTCGATGAGGGATGTCTTGTCTATCAGGGCATCACAAATGGCAGTTAAAGCCTGCGGGATCTCTGAGATCAATCTTCCAGTGAAGATATCTGCAAAGTCAGCGATCTGGAGACTGACAATTCAATGCTTATATGATTCGAAGGATGGATAAGAAGCACCTTTATATTTGAAGCCTTTTGCAGCCACTCCGCTAGAGCCAAAGACGCGTCTACACCAATAGTATTGCCACCAAAGTGTACTTCCTCTATAAGTACCGGATCGACCCCGTCTAATATCGACCCAATATCTTCACGGCTATTATATTTTGCGCCTCTTCCATCCACGGAGAAGGTTTTACCGTCGGATGAGATTGCAGACATACTGAAAATAAAAAGTGGAAAGAAAAGTCAAGGTCAGAATTATAGGCGCCGTCTGCCCGCCGGCATACCAAATGGCAACAGATGGCAACTTCGCCAACCAAACTTAAACAGCAACGGTCAACTTTCAACTACGCCGCTTAAACGGTCAATGACACTGACAGGCTTAACAACCTCCCGAGTCCCAAGACATTCCTAGATCGACCAAGTAAGGTTATAGTAAATAAGTCATATCTACTTCTATACTCTCCACCTGCTGTGGTCACAGCAATTAAGATGTACTCACCCTTCACGGATTGATTTCCAAGCATACTCCGCAAAAGAGGGTCTCGATAACACTTTTTCTTTCGGAGCCGCAAAGTGGATCTGTCGGAAACTCTATGTTGAACCCATATACCATTTAAACAAGAAGGAAGGAAGGAATAAGTTGTGCAGTGGTTTGCCATCTCGTTGCGCTGATCAATTGCAGTATCCATCCATACCAACAGATATACGAGATTCGCGGAGCTGTAGACTCGTCTCGAGGTCTTTAAATACTTCTTGAATGTTAGAGGCTGGCTTTCACATCGAGTTTTTCCAGCACCCTCCTTTTCTTATTCGACCCAGACCTAATGTTCTGTGCTGTGCAATGGTTGACTGTGTCCACCGTCTTTCTGTGCGTCTACTGCTGGGTGAATCTATATCTGATATTCTCTGTGGCTTACCCTACCCCAGCATCACATTCCCTCTTTCACTACCGATCAACGCATTCCAAGTCACTTTGGAAGGAGGATCCAACGGATTGGCAACCGCACCGGCAGTCGTTACTGGCACGTTTTTGCGTGAATCAGGCGATCCTGCCGGTATAACGATCCCCCTTGTTAATATCAGCGATCCCTCTGGCCCCCAAGTCATCCAAACTGAAATTCCACCGGACAGCGAAGATTCTGGATCTTTTTCAATAACTCTCACTGATCCTGGGTGCGCGCAAAATTAGCAGAGCTCTTCTTCCCTCGTTTCATTATTGTGCTTAATTGGGTCTAGAACGTACCAACTTGCACCTGCAGACGGGTGAGCAAGCTTTGGCATCTACCTCTGCGATGGACAAACATTAATGGATCCCAGGCAGGGTAACACTATCGGGGACAGCAACGCCATCACGGTGGTTTCCGCTACTGCTGATAGTCAAACGACTCCGACTCAAACGACTGCTGTGGTCAATCCAACGAGCGCGAGTGAAACTTCAGTTGTAGTCGTACAGAAGTGAGTATTCCGATTGATTATTCCCTATATCGTATTCCCAAGACTCGCTGTCATATAGTCGATAACGACACACAACTGAGTGATTGTTTTCATCTGTTCCTTCTAGCACTGTTGAAATAATTACCTCCGCAAGCAACAGGATTACTCCTACAACTGCACGCACTTCTGAGTCTTCAGGTACAACCTCCAGTGACGAGCACATTTCGACTTCGACGACTGTACATACATCTTCTGACCTAGTTCTCACTCGAACCCCTGGCCCCAGTTTCTCTCAAATAACTTCAACTTCAACTTTTACAGGAGCATCCTTTACAACCACACGATTTTTTACATTCATCTCGGCTTCTGGTATCTCGACTCTCACAGCCCCTTCAGTATCACTTACCACCACTATCACTTCTAGTGGGATTTCTTATCCTACCTCGCCTGCTACTAATCCTAGCTCAGTTAGAAAAACACGAACTGGCCGCATTATCGGTGGCATATTTGGAGCGATTGGAGGAATAATTCTCCTCGCTCTTCTCTACTATTTCGCCAGACGGAAACCAGCTATCTCCCATTCGCTCAATACCCTGAAACAAACAATTTCTCACCGACTCGATGCTGTGAAACAAACGATCTCCAATTGGCTGCATCGGTTGTATAGTCGCATGAAATCCGTCAACATTGGTGTAACCAGGAATGTTTCCAACGGTAGAATAGGCATTGTTAGTCAACAGAACCGTTGGTATAGAGCCAGTGGTGCTGCATCATCAATACTTCCTTTCGCCCGAATGCACTCTCCAACACACTCAGGGATTGAGGTGTCCGAACCAATGGCGATGGCATACGATGGTATGGCCCCAATGTCTGTGCATGCTTCATCTGTTGCTGCAGCGACCTACGATGTCGACCTGGGACATTTAGGAATGGCAGATGGCAACAATAATGATCATGGAATCTATGAAGGTCCCTCATTGTTGCCATCTTTCAGACGACCAAGTGATTCTACCACACTAGTCTTGGCATCGAGAAATGATCCCTTCAACGAGGAAGTCGACCCTCGAGCCGAGCCAAGTCGAATGCGTAGTGTAGACAGACTTCGTGTCAGCGGCGAGCTACCATTGCACTCGTCGCTTACATCGAGTTTAATCGCAAATGTAAATGTTTCTAGGGGTTCACTGGGTACGTGATTAACATATATCTGTTCTTTCAGTGCTTTGACCATAATTTAGACAAGAAATCTACTGGGAGAGAAAGCCTGATCAGCGCGGGGTCTCCGCCCCCATCCTACTCATCCCACACGCCCCCTACCCACCGAGTTGTTCCAGCATCCCTACTGCCTCCGAACTAAAAACCAACATGTCGTGTTGTTTCTTTCCTTCATGATACCTGATTACTTGACTGTACGAACTAGCCTTGAAATACGTATCAAAAATTAAAATATCAAAATCGAAAAGATTTTGTATTCTTTGATTTGAAAACATGCTACATCCAACGGCGATATCTACGAGCTCTCGCCGCCTTTCTTCTCCTCGACCTTCTTGTCTAGGCTTTTAGGTGACTCTGGTCCAGATCCAGATAGCTGGAAGGTCGGAAACGCGGAAAGGGATCAATTTAGAGAAGTGATAAGAGGAACAAACCAACTCGACACTCACCGAAGCCTCATCCCGAACTTGACCTTGCTCAGTTGGGCCAGGCTCATCTACAGATCCTGCGGGGTCCTTTGGAGCAGGTTCCGGTTCCTTCTGAGCCTCTTCAGTGGGCTAAGAGATGCGTCGTTCAAGCTTCCGACAAAAAGACATGATTTATGAACGTACAGTTTGGGCAGGTTCTTCCGATGTTTTTTCCTTGTCAGCCTGAGAAATGTACGAATGAGAATACGAGGCGATAAGTTGATATGTTTTATCTCACTGAATCGGCCTTTGGAACGTCTTCGGCCTAATAGAGTGGTCAATGGAAAAGAATTCCGAGCATTGTAAGCGGGTTTTTACACGTACTTCAGCCTTTTGCAGAGACTCGGATACATCAGCTTCAGTTCCTTCGTCGTCTTTCACCAGCACGGGCTCGTGCTCTTGAGCCTTCTTCTCGTGTTTCCCGTGAGAGTCATGGTGAGGGGCAGATTTCCTGGAAGCAGGAGACACCAAGTAGAGGAACTGTACATGGTCAATAAGCCAAGTTCGGAAAGCAGATACTTGAACTGAGAGCAACCCACGGCAGGACCAAAGAGGATAGCCGAGCCGATCTAACCAGAAAGACAAGTTCAGCAAGACATTGGTACACCCAAAATTAGAAACAGCAACGAACAATCCATGGCATGTCAGAGCTTTTCTTCGCTGCTTCAACGGTCGAGCTGCTCATAGCACGACGGAATGTATGTACTCTTGAATAAACATTTGTCTTTGCTGAGCGCGCAGAGACGCGTTGAAATGAAGCAAAAAGCTGTCTTGGTGCTCGAGAGGCCATGGATGTTGGTTTAATTTATGGAAAGAAAACCAACTGCCAGCTTTACCCCGATTCATCCCGATGACGTAGAATTTGACAACCGTCCGAATCCGCGGCGGAGCCTCGGCATGAACCGAATTCGAACGGACTTAATTCCGATTTTCGAGGCCGCCCAACCAATTGCGCCATTTCATGTAAGCGAGATCGTCACATGCCCTGTTCGATTAGATATTGTATTTACGATAAGATAACCTGTCCCGCCTTTGCGCGCCTCTATCCCAAATTTGGTTTGGACGTGCGCGCGCAGATCTTTTCTATTTCTCGGGCCTTGATTTGCGCCGCTTCTCTTCTCAATATTTCACTAACTTGTGAACTGTCTGTCAAATGTCAGAGGTCTGTCCAAAGCTCGTGAACCGACTGGGATCTTAGGGCATCTCTAAAAAGCACGATTCTATACATCCGACCTCTCCTCCTCCCTTCTGCTCCCTCCTACCTTCCTAGCATTATTCGCAATGACCGAGCCTGATAACTTCATTAGTACCTATGATGAGAAATCTAACCCCGTTGATATCCCATAGTATGTTTCGAAATCTATTGCTTATGCTTACTGATCACACTCTAGCCCATTGACGAATGGTGCTCCCATGCATCCCAGCGAAGTCATCAGGATTCACAACAAAGGCGAACTCTTCTTTCGCTGCGCCCATGGAATGATTTGCGAGGCTTGGTACGTTGGACTAAACAGTGCTAACGAGCTACGCGGATGCGCCTTTATACGGTGCCCCAGGCAAATAAATCACCGATGTGGATTCTACGGTGCGTCGAGTTCAATTCCTTATCATTATATATGTAATTATACACTCATGATTTTGTAGTCAAGCTAAACGATATTTATGGCCCGTTGCACCAAGCACACCAGCTGAAAGCTTCCCGCACAATGGAGCCTTATCCTTCTCCCCCTCAGTCTCGGAAGCGGCCCTCCTCCTTGATGGAACTTCCCAATACACCCACGAAACGCTCCAAGAAGATTGGAAAACAAACGGCCAAGAATACCATTCCAACGCCCTTCCCCGTTGATCCCAATCCTCCTTCAACCAGTTATCCTAAAGGGTCCTATTATCTACTCCCTCCATTTGAAGACAATGGATTTCTGTAAGACCTGGGTCAAAATAGGTCTTAGGGTAGGTTTTGGTATGTGGAGGTTTATGTTGTAGCGTGCTAGGAGCAGGCTGGAGCTCGAAGGGAGCTACGAGAACCGCGACCGAGGACGGGAATGACCTAGTAGTGGTTGGAACGACGAGATGGTGACCCTTGAGGGGTTCCTAGGAGGTCCCAATGTAAGACCTGGGTCAAAATAGGTCTTAGGGTAGGTTTTGGTATGTGGAGGTTTATGTTGTAGCGTGCTAGGAGCAGGCTGGAGCTCGAAGGGAGCTACGAGAACCGCGACCGAGGACGGGAATGACCTAGTAGTGGTTGGAACGACGAGATGGTGACCCTTGAGGGGTTCCTAGGAGGTCCAGGGAGGTCCCTAATGCGTAGGGAGGTTCGGGACGAGTGCGGGACCGTAAGATATTGCGTAGTAGGAGTTGTACTCGCTAGAACGTCAATATAGAGTCGAGTAGGTAGTTTATGCAACGGGGTCTCGAGGGTGTAAGCTCCCGAGAAGGGATATGCCAGGGAGGGTAGGTCCCTGGGGACTAGGTTTGAGGATGGTCGTCCTCGAGTATGGGAGGTGGTAACGGAGAAGCAATACGTAGTTCGACGTGAGGGGTAGCTTCGACGTTACCTAGATCGAGGTCCCGAAGCTTACGAAGTAGCTAGGGAGCTCTGGGAGGTTTGGGGAAGGGTAGCTCACAAGCGGTACGTT